AATGCCAGCTAAAAGGATAGCGGCTCAGAATGACGACGTTCCGTAGACTGGGGAGAGGACCTAGATCGTTTTGGCATGGCGGACCATGCGAAACAAATGGGTATATGTGTGCAATGTCCTGACGAGTGAAAAGTAGATAGTCAAGAAAGTCGTCGGAGACCTCTTGCAGTACTAATATGTCGGCCGTCGCTTCTTCTGATAGGACGGTGTCCACAATCAACGGGTCGCGGTCATGGTCCGGCGGATACTCAGTGTCTACCAGGACATTGTAACTCGCAACAGTGATTTCTTCTGATTCAACCTCGATCCTATTCTCGCATGTGTGCGGTGACCATCTGGATTCGTTGGGATCGAAGCAGAGGGCTGGCACGTCGCGCACCTCGAAATCCTCAAGTAAGGAATCATGCTGAGTTTCATCGACATCCGGTCGGGGTGCAGCCGGATTCGATTTGGGCATCTTTACCCAGTAGTCTGGAATGTGAGGTCTCCAAACATCGCCTGGACCGCCAATATCGATAGTTCCATACAACCGCATGTAGTCAGTTGACAGCGCGCCAGTCGTTTTTTCACGAATAAGGATAGCAAGCGTGCCGACGCGGAAGTGTATGTTTGGTAATCTTTGAGCCTTGCGTAGGAGGTATGACTGTGAGAGCAGAGGATTACCCTGTGTCTGACCGATAGTGAGGTGGGGAGTAAATCGAGAAGGACCTTGGCCTAGTGCTTGCAGTACAGTCCTACGCAGCGAAACGAAAGGCGAGTCTTCCTCACCACGGTCATCGGTACCAAGAAATACGGTGAAGTTGTTCTTTTGCACGAAACCACCGGCTTGAACCAGTTCTACATCGATGGGTGTCGCTTGGGTGGAATGCTGTGCCAGGTACCCTTGAATCTGCTCTTGTGCTTTGGGAAGCTGCTCTGGTGCAACGAAAGGGTATACGAGGTTGATGTGAGGTGGCCACTAAAAAGATTAGACCCCTAGTCAATGTGTGCTTTCTCTGAATCCAGAGCGGGTCTCGCTCACCTTCCCATAGGCCTTGTCGTAAAGTTCCCGCAGCTGATCTACGTGACCGCATTGAGAAGCGGGTGGGATGATGCACAACGCTGTATCGTAAGAAGTCGTTGACATCCGCGCTGGAGGAGAAGTATGGTCGGTAGCCGCCATGTCTAAAAGCAGAACGAGATGCAGAGAAGACGATTGAAAGGGGTATGTCGAGTGCGTCAGAAAGGACTCTGGCGTCTAATGATTCTGATCTCTTGTAAGTGTGCAGCGATCTTTATGTCTTGTACAAGAGACACGCTCAAACACTTTACTCCACTCCGTTACTCACTCCGTGAATCAGCATGCTTCCCAATGAGGCGATACATATGACTCCGGGGGCTGTTGAGCCTCATGCAGGAGGCGCAGGCAGAGTGAGCAAAAGTGAGTCATTCGCGCTAACCAAAACGAAGCGGTCTCTGGCTTCAGGGCTGGGTGAGGTGCTGCGAGAACGCGTGCAGTCGAACCTGTAATGCGATGGTATGTGTAACAGCATTGAGCGCACTGCAATGTGACTCAAACAAAGTCGGGCCTGTTCTCATGCAATGGCGAGTTGATGGCTGTGTGCTCCCATCGGCCCGAGGCTCAAGTGGGGTCAACCGCGCCTGCGCCTCAGGGCTGCGGTACCTGCCTGCGCAGGCATCGCGAACAACCCATGCAACCTTCCCCCGGGGCCTCACCCAACCTTGTCGCGGCCTCTACCAGCAAGCAGCTATGGTCGGCTTTCTAGATCTACCGAGCGAACTGGTCTTCAACATCATCGACCTTGTGCTCTCGTCACCTACTGTTTTACCGAAGAATGGCACGCGTCATCGACCCAGCTATCCAACTGGCATACGCAATCTTTGCTGTGTACCGAGCCTGGATTATTTGAAGGATTCAGGGGTTTCAAGCCTTCTACTAACCAGTCAACGAATGTATCGCGAGACCAAAGAATATCTCTCAAAAGCGCCGCGGAACTTCGAGGTCGATGTCGCAGTTATTGATGACCACTGGTTCTGGCCGACACGGCGCGTTATTCCCGTGCGCGAGCTTGAAGGAACCATCGAGAGATTATACATCAACATAATCCCGTGCTGTACCACAGATAGACGGCATCTGCAGACGGACTGGGATCTCGAAGGCCGGAATCCAGCAGACTTGTCCACTTTGTGGCTGCTTCTTGCCGGAGGACTGTCGTTCCCGTTGGCTCGCTTCTTACTCGATGATAGTCCGAAAAGACATCGATCACAAGTTTTCCGGGGTTTGGAAACATGGGTCGACCCACTGTTGGACGAGGACTTAGATGATGGCCGGAACATACCTGTTACTCGGATTGACACTGTGACTATCAATATTGATACGTGGAGGTATGGAAACGGCAACAAAGAGATCAGTCTTGCAGAAATACCTTTCCGTAAGATTGAAGGTCTGGCACATCTGGACTTTAAGGAGCTGTACCCAGTGGACTTCGCAAAGTCAGAAACCTACCTTCGCGAATTGTACAAATACATCGATGAGCGACTGTATGGTACGGGGAAAGTAGCGAAAAAGATCGGAAAGATACAATTTTACCTTGATGGAAAGTTGTCAAGAGAATTGAACACAGTGGTATGACACAACGGCCAAGCTGTACCGCAGGGCGACGCTATGTGGAACTCACAATCCCTCCTGAACGCAGACACCAGCAATGCCTAGCCTATCAGATCAACCCAACTTGCTTATCGTCGACATCGCGGTCACGGCCTGTTCACCCGACACATCACTATTTATCGGCATACAAAGCCGCACCCAGACGGTGATGAATATCATGGGGAACAGCCATTCTTACTTCGGTTCAAACATCATCCAGGACCGGAGCAATTGAGGAGTGATTGTTGAAGAACTGGCAGCGACTGGTCTGAAGTCGCCAACGACGAACATGACAGGAAGATGGAGCTAGGATGCATGCCGAATGTTTGACGGTATCAGGCGCAAGGCTTGACTCCCCATCAGGGCAGCACCAAGCGATGCTGTGTTGGCATTTGGATCCGAATGCGAGTAGCGCTCAACAAGTCTGGCAGGGCGAGCATGCAGCAGTTCGTCGCACAACCGCTTCTGGACGCATTGCGTATGGATTAAGGAGCGTATTCTGTTCACCCTATGCTCTCGCAATCTGGTTTTCGTGAGACAATCGGTTGACGGAACCTTAGCTTGCCTATAGCTTGAAGCCACAGAAACAAGCTTCACCACGATCGCCTCTAAAAAGCAAGCGCCCGCGAATGTGGCTCGTCATTCTCCGATGATCAGCTCAGGAATCGAGCGATTCGGCAGCCACGACGAATATGCCATTGGAGATCTACGAGGCTGTGACGCGCATGGAACTGGTTTCCCATGTATGGGATTTCCAAATCACGTTCAGGAAAAAGCATGGGGATTTTCAGTGACGTACTTGCCTGCAACAGATTAGCACCGCGTTAGCGATGTCACGTGCGTTGTTTCTCAGCCACCAATCACGCCTGTATCGTGGCTTGTCGTTCCAAGCCATCCAATCTCATGACGCGCCGAGAAAGCGCAAAGGCAACATGCCACTGCCGTGCATCAAGCCTAAGCAAAATCTCCGCGGTTCCAGGTTTAATTTGGATGCGGGGGGCTGGTACCGAAGCTGACGGTGACGGTGAGTGACGACCGTGTCAAACGGGCAAGAGGGGCCTGGTCTTTGTGTCACATCGCTGTCACCCCATCCTCAGAGAGCTATAAGATAGTGGATCTTCGCGCTGCCCTCATCTTCAGCATTCAGCAGAACTCACCAATCCATCAATACCATCCACGCCGACACCCAGCATATCAACATGGTGCACGCCCAGGAGCCCATTGACGGTCCGGTCGACTACCCAGTCACCGACAAGCGCGAGCAAACAGGTCTTCTTACGCGTCAGTAACTACCCATGAACTGGATGTGAGACATATACTGACTGCGTACACCCATCTTTAGGCTTTGTGCCGGACAAGCTCAAGAACACTTCCTTCTACCGTTGGTTCCTACGTTTCACACGCCTCCTACAATTCATCAGCTCTGTGGTCTCACTCGGCATCTTTTCTCAACGCTTATATAAGGTGTATCGCCTTGTCAACAGCGTCAAGACCTATCGCGGCATCAACGGCAGCTATGGTGCAGTCGAGGGCATTCTTGCCGCCGCCGTGCTGTATACTTTGATCACGATCCTACTTTCTTGCATCAAGAAGTCAGCGAACCCTGGCGGTCGAGTACTCCGATGGATCTGGGTACTTCTCGACCTTGCATTTGTTGGAGCATTCATCGCAGTGGCTGTGCTTACGCGACCGAACGGAGGTCTCGCTGGTGCTCGTCACTGCTACAGCCCGGAGCGTATTGCTAACGGCAATACTGGTGTTGTTACTGGCGCGACTGCGAGCCGTGATGACAGCTGTAACCTGCCGTGGGGCACCTTCATCCTGGCAATTATCAGCACGTATGTTCTCCGCTGCCCAAATCCCTGAATCATCTGCTAACTGGCTGCCAGACTCCTCCATGCCATCACCGCCTCCTTCCACGAGATTAGGGACCACCGCCGAAAGGCTAGGCTCGAACACGAGAAGGCCGTTCAGCCACAACACACCGAGGCCGCCGCTGATGGCGTCCGCTACTAGATTCTCAAACCGCTCGATGTTCCGTTAGAAAAAAGGCATGGAGGTTGTGAAGCACGAAGGTGTGCCCACACATTTCTACCAAGCCTCACGAACAACACACATGTATACCCATAGTGCATCAGCCCAGCCCTTGATGCATTATATTCTCACGATTTTTCACTTTAGCGAATGGCGCAACTGGGCCGGAGTTTCTGTAGTCATTGAGCGAAATAATTCTGCGTCCAACTAATGCAACACCTACCGTATATTCTACTCGAAGATTTCTATCAGATGGTAATGCCAATTCCGAAGTAACAAAGCTGGTGACGCTATCCATCTCGGTGACCCGCCCACCGGCCTAGAAATCGCTTAACACAGTCTTCTCAAACTCCTCCGCAAACTCTTTTGCTGGGGTGATTGCTCCAAGCCAATACCCACCCCTAGCATCCTTACCAACACACATACCAATGCCCCCTGAGCTTTTACCCCAACCGTCCACCCGTCTATCGTGACCGTTAACACTGATATACACAGGCTTTCCTCTGGTCGGCCTACTAGTCAACCCACCCTCATCGCCGTCATCAGAAACGACAGCAGCGCTGAAATCTGTATCAAACAACGTTGCCTTTGCCCAATTTGAGAACACGTAGGCTGCCGGCCCCATCTGCGGATCCGACGGAGGCGTAAGGTTTTGCTGTCCGTTGCGGCTGGCACGCTGCGAAGCTTCCACCGCCTCTCTATTCGCCTGCTCAACAAGATCTTTGCGAATACGAGCCGCAACGTGACCCAGCGGCATACCGACAAACTGCTGTACACTGAACGCCGAAACGATTCCACCTGTACAGTTTGCAACATATGCTTTTCCTTTTGGAATCAAGACCTCGTATTTGGATGACGAGGTAGATAGTACGTCTCGCATGCCCAAGACATTGAGGATTATTATGGGTCGAGCAGGTGGTGAGTTGAGCAGAGAGGTGTCGGAGGAAACGAGATGGCGGATTAACCATGCTGAGAAGATGTCGCCGTCCGAGAGGAAGGGCTTTGGTGCAGAAGATGTTGAGGTATTGTAGGTTATTTGTGAGGCGTCGAGAGATTCAAGATCGTGCATTGCTTCAGTTCGCAAGCGAGCCATGTAGGCCGCGGGCATGTAGAGCATACGGCCGTTCTGCGTTGTCGTTGGTGTAAAGAACCGAGAATAGAGGTATGCGAACATCGCTCTGGGGCCTAGCAAGCTTGGAAGCCAGGTCTTGAAGTTTGACATCACCATCCAGATCCGAGATTGCGCTTTCTCTTGCACCTGCGTAGTGCCGGCACTCATACCCTCTGCATCCTGGTTGTCCTCATCGAGAGAAGCTCCAAGCCGCTTCAATGGGTCGAAATCGTAACCCCAGAACTCCGGTACATCTTCGTCTCTTCCTTCCAAAACTGCCGTCCAGGCTCTTAGTAGAGTTTGTCGTCCCATCGCATCAAGAAGCGTATGTAGCCAAGTAAGGGTGACGAGCGTCGCATCCTTGAAGCTCGTTACATGTAAGCCTAACTGCGCCTCATCTGAAAAGAGCCAGTCATCAAGGACTGAAGTATTTCCCCTCGCACTTATAACCCCACGTTGCGACTCTAGAACGCCGAAGACCTGGACACTGTCGTCACGCTCGTTCGCAGTAGGAATCTGGCAACCAAGAGGATGGTCCTTCAATTTGCTGTCGAAAGTCTCATGGGTGAAGTTGACTGGCGGGCGCTCTTTGGTATACTGTGCTGGTATGTGGTATTCAAGTTTATCGTTGCTGGTGTTGAGGCGCAGTCTCGCTCCCAACTTCCTCCAACCAGGTTTCTCCAGCAACCTCCATAATGCTTCGACAAGCTTCCGCTCATCAAGAACATCGTCAAAACACATGGTGTATTCGACTGAAACGTTTCTGTTTTGGTGCGTGTCGTCGCGGCTGTGGAGGGGTATGATGGTATCCGTGGGTATGCGAGGAGGAGCGACTCGCTGCCCAGTGAAGTAGTTCGATAGGAAGGACATGTTTAAGAAAGCGAAAGCTATCACTGGGTGCCTCACAGAAGAAAGAGAAGGTGATTTACCGATGTCGTATCAATTTTGGTGCGGGCAGATACTTCAAATATATGTCTTGCGTCTAAGCGACGCGAAACCAAATGCATGTGCCACAAGCGATACTTGGATACGCCCGGGCGATATCTCACGTGAGAGGTATCGGATAGTCGATTGCCCAGCGCGTGTAGTCCTTACATCCGCACTAAATGGCGTTCAGATGTGTGCCTACTAGCAGTAGGGGTGCCAATCATATATGCCTTGGTGTAGTAAAGGGCTTGGATTAAGAAGCCTACTGGGTAGCTTCGCATTAAGGCTGACTATACGCCAAGCCTCGCATACCGGTCAGCGGGATCTCGGGAGAGTCCAATCCCCGAATTGCCGGCAAGTGGAAATATACGAAGATACGAAGGTCGTGGCGGATTAAAAAAGTCCGAGAGTTTCCACAGACCGCCTCACGGGGCGACAGTCGCCGTCGCCTGCAGCCTTGTTGTAGCTTGAAAACGAGAAGCACCGGCAATACGAAATATCAAGGGGTCATCATGATCATCATAATTTCGTAAGTATCGTTGATAGAGCGGCGTCAATTGCCAGGCCCTGTGAAATTACCAATGAAAACCACCAAGATCGCACAATAGGCTGCCGATGCCGCAAACAGTTCGTGTCTCGCCGCCTTTGTCAAAAGACTCATTGCAGCGCTGAAGAGCAACGTGAATACGATCAGCACGCCGACAGCGTTGAAAGTGTCTCTACTGTCAATATCCACTTGGCTGGTTGTGGACGTGTTGCCAGAAGCATCCGTCACCACATGTGCAGCAGTGTTGGTTAACTGGTACATGGTGATGACGGGAACGACAAGGAGACAGAATATGACGAATGTGATGAGCATGTTGACAACTTTGTCGATGCGGGAGCTGCTGTAGAGGGAAACGTAAGGATCTGTTGTCTTTTCCTGAGCTTCTGGGGTACGGAAGTACTTCTAATGGCTTGTTAGTATGACTGTCCATAGCATCACTCTCTCTTCTGCTCACCTGTAGTGGAAGTTTCTTGGTGCCAAAGACCTTTTGCAGGAGTATGTCGGTTTGGCCGATAAGACTCTCGACACCGCCGTCGAAGGTCGCCCACTCACGACCGTTGTGCAAGGATACAATGTCTTCTTTGCTGCGAATAGCTTCCATCTCAGCATCCATGAGCGGCTTTCTGTTGTAACAGTAGCGTCGCACACTACGGTAATTTCGATCTGATGGCTTCTGGAAGGAACCCACTGTCCTTGCCTTGATGAGGACATCATCTATGCAGCAGTTAGTCGTTGACTGATGGGCTCATATCTACGATGAGCTACTATAGGAATGCATACCATATTCCATTAGCTTGGCTTTGATTTCTCGCAGTACAACTCGTCGGCTGCGAGGCGCCCCCTCGCCATCAGGCTGGGCTTTGTCGAAATCCCTCGACATCAAACGAGTACGGTCTTCGTCGTGGTCATCCCAGTCAATCTCGTCCAGCTCCTGTTCTAATGATGTGATCTCATCCTGCAAATCAAGGAGGATACGTGAGTGCAGATATGAGAAGGCGCGATAAAGTGAGAAGTTTTGTTCACTCGATTGGAATGCTGCGAGTTTTGGGAAGCCATTGGGAGTTTTTTCCACTGACTTTCATGAGTGTTTAGTCAGACTCAGTTGTAATAATAACTCACAAGTTCGCGTAACGTTCTCAGTCACATATTCGGCCTCAGGCTCGGAGCGAAAAGGGACTGTGATTCGTCGCAAGAAATTCGGTCGCTTCTTTCCGTTCTCTGGAGATTTGTTAGTCTTTGGTGATTCACAGTAAGTTTCTAGCTGCCGATGCAATCGATTTGGTATGGCATCTCGTGGCCACCATATCGGGCACGCGTAAGCTGACGGTGGCAAGCTCCTTCAGGCAGGAGCTTTGCGTCGCTGACCTCACCTTTCTGGCCCCATACATAGCGGGGTCAGTTTGTTTTGGGGGCCAAAAAGGATCTTGTGGGATCGCTTACCAGGCTGTGCGCTCTCAACGTCAACTGAGTCTCTCCGCGTTGGGGGCTGAATGGTAGAATGGCTATCTTCAGCACCCTCAATGAAGTCCCCCGTTAAGGTCGCGTCGGTATTCGTGGGAGACACTGGCGATACTGGCGATTGAGGTGTCTTCTCATCGGTGAAAGTATCGCCGGTCATGGTACGAAGAGGGGCCATGGTGATGCAAGAAGAAAGGCGCGGCCCGCACACAAGCGAAGAAGCGAGAAGAAGAAGACGAGAACCTTCGAACACCAGCAATAATCGATCAGTTGAACATTAAAAGTGAGCTGTCTGTGGCTCAACAAACTGTGGCAAGAACGCAGTGTATGTAGTATTGAAGACATGAAATTGAGGGGTGCGATCGCCGTATCCGTAAGACTCAGCCCCAACGCCTTAGACTCCCCTTGCACAATTGGCTGTGCGCATCTGAATCACAGCTGCCTGGTGACTTCCGGTGAGCTCAGCCTCAGGCAATGTTGCACAGCTCAGCTGCGAGGCTTCAGATCCTTCTCGCGGGTCCAGCCACTTGCCATCTCCAGGGAATAGACATCCCGGAGCTGATACTCATGGTATCCCCTGGCACGATTGAATTTGCGGTCGTAAACGGTAAAGACGCCTGTCGTTCGTTCACCATTCGCAAACACTGGTTTGCGCACAACTTCGCCCTTGCTGAAGCGCGCGACTGGCTGAGACAGAGTTAGAATGTACCGCCTGGACCTTTGGAGAAAGACTTACTTCAGCAGCGTTCGGATCAGGGTTTACACTCGCTTTGGTCTGGGGAGCTGCATCTTCTGGTGCGGCGTCCATGTATTCGTTCTGTGGCTAACAGTCAGCCGTGGAGCGGGAACCACTCAGCGTAGGATCTAACCTCGACTGCCTGAAGTGGCTGTTCATCGAATGTGGTAGCCATAGTGATCGAGTAGTTGGGAAGTGAGGCAGGGAGCCTTATGGATGATGCCCTGAAGTATGGTAGCAGCGTCTGCTATTATAGAAGTCCTTGTTGATGGCCTCTCGACAGTTTGCCTACTGCAGCCCCAGGCAACAGAGGGTCGTGACCGGTGCAGATTATGGTTGGGGGCCCATATTGCCTGCACAGCCGCGGCTTAGCCATGTTGCATGCAGATGATTGCATACCCATTGCATGACAGTGCATTCTGCGGGTACAGTAGTAGTGAGCTCATGTCATCGCATCAAACCTCTGGCCATAAGTGGTAAATGCAGGCAGTCAATCCTGGCAGGCTGGTTCTTTGTAATTGGGGGTGGTGGAGGCTCAGCTTTGGACCCCAACGCTCGGTGATGAAGTTGGCGGAGCGCTGATTGGCGGGGCGAGGCTGCATCTGCCATCTCCGCACTCGTCGTGCCGTGGTGCATGTCCCACCAATATGGGGGCTGAAAGCTGCAGCGAACTATGGCACTCATTATGGCCCGTCGCCGTGAACGTCGAGCCCCGCAGGTTCACAGCTCTTCTACCCAATGGCTCTTTCCTCAAGCGCAACGGCGCATGCCCTGGACGCGATGGCGACTGAGGTGACCTCGCACGTTGCGAATCCCTACCCACACAAAGTCATCCATGCCGACATACGGATACAATCGATTGACGACGAGTCGGGACAGAGCGGCCCGCCTGCGCAGAGTGAGGAGCATCTTGCGGAGAGCAAACCGAGCGTAGCAGATGTCGTGTACCAGGTAAAGGGCGCTGAGATGCGGGAATGCTGGTCCAAAGCTATCGCCAAGAACATGGACCTGCCTGAGGGCTACTCCAGCGCTGCAGTCTTGATCATCAAGTGGGCGGATGCGCTGGACGACCTGAAGACCGGAGCAGAGGTATGTTGTACTCCAAAAACGCGTCAGGCGCGCATCGTCTGACCAGGACTACTGTAGGCCCGAGAACTCCATGCCCTCTTCCGCGACCGCTATCACTACAAGTCCGAAATCGTCGAGCTCGACGTCCGTCCGAAACCTCAACATCAGCTCGAAAGCTCCGTCATCAACTTCATACGCGACAACGACGGACCGGAAAATCTGCTCATCGTATACTACACGGGGCACGGCGATTACAGCGAGGAGAGGAAGTGCTTGGAGCTCTCTGGCAGTCTCCCGAGTGACAACTCTGTACTACATGACAGAGGATTCCGGAAGAACGCGCGCGCAAACTGGACCCAAGCTGAGGACCGGCTACGCAGCGACGATGTAGAGAGCGATGTCTTGACCATTCTAGACACCTGCTATGCGAGCAACTTTGCCAAGTCGGGCAAAGAAGGCCACAAGAAGTTTGAGCTCCTCAGCGCGTGTGCGGTTGATCAATTGGCCGAACCTCCTGGTGAGAGGTCATATACCCGTGCGCTCATTGACGCCTTGAAAGCACTCCATGAGACAAACCCAGAGGGAGCAATATCGACCTTCCTTCTGCACCAGCGCATCAACATAGACAAACGACGCGTAGATACGCCCTCGCATATCTGGTCTCGAGGCAATAGCACACAGCACAGCGATCAGCATATAGTCTTGGCTCCTCTCAAGCTACAAAAAGACAATGCATCTCACTGGCGGCCCAAGCCAAAAGGCTTCTTGACACTGCGGTTTGGTCTACGGGACTCGTCGCTGAGCCCAGAACAGATTGACTTCATGACCAAGAACCTGGCCAAAGCCTTCGGCAATAAGGCGTTGGTAGGTCTGAGAAGAGTCGATTGGGTCGACATCGAGCTTGCTCCACCCACGACGGACTTTGAGCGTGTAGATTTGAGCTCTCGCGCCATAGCACAGTGGAGGAAAATCGTTGAGAAAAACAAGAAGATGAGAGGCTCCCCGCTGATTCGGAAGACTGGTTCGGTGGGTGTGTCACAGAAGCGCACAAATGAAGATGCACATGATCTTCCGGAAGCGAAGCGCAGGTTCCTAGACACCTCGCACCCCCCTCCTTCACCACCGGTCTCGGAATCTTCGCGCATTGACTAAACCAAATGTAGGGAGGCTTTCTTTCCTTGGACCGACGATGACTGTCAGCGACGCATTTGCTTGTTTCTAGAATACCCATCCATTGGCTCAATCGGCACGCTTTTCTTCCTATATCCTTAACTAAACCATACTCTATTTGTTTCTAGCTCCCTTCGAAGCTCTATGTATCTAATGTATTCGCAACTCAGATTGCACTTGGTCCGTTGCGGCCAAGCATTTCCATCGGCTTCTACTCGGAGGTTGCCCAAACAGTTGGCGCCACTTTTTAGTCTCACCACCATCATCATCACGTTAAGCTTCGACAGTACAGCATGATAGCGCTAGACACGTAGCACAATACAGAGAACTACATCGAAGCTTCTCATCTACCCTGGTTGCTGCGTGATACCCTGATCAACACGTTCCGCTGATCATTTGCAGTGTAGTATAAAGTCGAAGCTTCCCTACGAGGATATGCGCACATCAACACCATCATCCAAACCACCATTTCAATCTACAAGTCACCATCGCAGCTTAAGCCTCTTCGGCGTTAGCCAGCAACCAATCCCGTCATCAACATACTACCATCCAATGGCTGCATCCAGCACAACCGCCGCTACCATGCTGACACCGGACCGACACAACCTCACCATCGGTCATTGTCGCGCGCAACGACAGGCACTCTATTCCCACACCGATCTTGGCACACCCACGCTGCTAAAGAAGCACCCGAAACCCATCATCTTTACCCCACGGGCAAGTGAGGATGAGTGGACGGAAAGTCAAGAAGAACTTGAGCGCTGGGGTATGGGAGCCACCAAGACGACCAAGCCAGGGTCTAGTCAAGTCACCACACCAAGCCGTTCGCAAGGGCGGGGTTTGGAGTACGGGGAAGTAATGGGATTCTGTTAGCGAAGAGGAAGAAGAAGAAAGAACTAAATGAGGAATGTTGTTAAGATTTCGTCATGGCAATCGACTGTTTCTACTATCTCTCTATATCGGCCTCTCTCCTACTATTCTTGCTAACTAGTACTTCGCTTCTGCTTCGCGCACTGCACCTGTTACACTTCCCTCCAGCGCGCATACCCCTAGCACGCTCACTTTTTAACATCGCAGTCTATTGTCTTAACTATCTCGCGATGTTGGCCTCTCTTCTACTACTCTTACCAACTAGCATGTCGCTCCTGCTTCGCGCACTACAATGGCTACAACCAACTCCAGCGCGCTTGCCTCCAGCGCGCTCGCTCTTCCCCAGAAAGACGTCTTACACCCGCCGCCTAGCTACGTCAAGCTCGCTCCTGCTATGCTTACTAGGCGGTGAAGCCATCTCTCGTCAACATTATTCGTCCCTCCTTGCCTCTGTCGAACGCCCTCGCGCCACTGAAATTTACCCTGTGATACCCCCTCACTTGCAGCATCGCCTCGGTGTGGGTACATACTATCAATCTTCAGGCTGCCAAAGGTCTACGCGCCGCCACACCCCCCTTAGAAGTGTCTACTACGGCCAAAAGAAAGATCCAACATGACCCATACAAGCAAAGTAGTATGGACGGCTACATCTCGCGCACCGCCCGGCCCAGTCTTAGCAAGACTACACCAAAGAGCAAGGAAGTCGCCCCCGCCCAACCACCTAAGCCCACCAAGACTCAGCGGAAACGTCGACGAGAAGACGACGACGACACGGATGCGGCGCGGCCCCCCGCACAGGACATCAGGCTTACGAGAAGTGCCAAAAAGCGACTAGATGCAGGGTCAACCAGTCGACACGCAGATGAAGATGATGCACACAGCCTGCACGAGTCCTATATAGCAGGAGCAACAGACGATGATACAGGCAGTGTTTTTGAGTCAGAGAACTGCAGCAATCCCGAGGGCGACGAAGAGGACATGTTTCTGAGTTCAGACGACAACGAGGATGAGGCCAGCCAACCTGAGGACGAGGCCGACCAGCCCGACGAAGACAACGAGGACGATGCCGAACAGTCTGACGAGGCCAGCCAGTCTGACGATGCCGATATCCACCATGCGGACGATGATGACATGAAGGAGACACAGTACTCCCTCGAGATACCGCTACGCGACCAAGATCTCTTTAATGTTGATGTTACCGCCGCCGAGGTTACATCCATGGTGGAAAAAGTCTTACCTGCGCTGTCATCAAGAAATATGAAGCAATTCTACAGAACTATCGCAGGCCATCTTGAGAAGTCCCCTTCATTTAGCATCCCGGCGCGCTCTCGACACCCCACTACCTGGTCGTTAGTCAACCCTGACTTTGATTTACTATGGAAACACTCAGTCGACGGCGAGCGGGCTCTAGACCTCGGCGGCCCAAGTCTGTTACCAAGATGGCTTAACATGTCAGAAGACGGTCTTGTAAAGCCAATTGGCTCGTTCACCAACACCCTACTACTGATATCCAGCTACCCGACAGCATTAGAGGAAGGCAGCGTACACAACCGCTATAGTACCGTAGATGATATGAGTAATGTTTGTATGTGGATGCTGTACACCAAGTTTGGGTACCACGTGGCGGACCTACGATCACACGGTGTAATGCACATAGACATTATGGCTCGACGCCTCGACGCCTCGACCGGAATCTGATCCCAGGATCTGATGGAGACAAGCTCTTTCGAATTACACCATTAAACCAGTCTGGCACAGTGTCGTATGCTGGTATTGATGAAGTACAATGAATTATTCAAGATTGTTTACGTGGAGCGGGATATGTGTAGCTACTTTCCAACTAGATTAGATCCAAGGATGTTCACAACAAGCAGGGCTAGTGCGTGATCATCTAGACGATCGGATAAATTTCAGATTTGAAATTCTGTAGTCTCCGCTTCATGCAACGAAATAAGAGGACCCTGAGGAAGATAGCTAACCTCTAATGCGCTGGATAAAGGTTCTGTTGCAATTGCCCTGTGCCACTTATTGAGAAGATACCAGAGAAGATAGCTAACCTCAAATGCGCTGGATAAGAGTTCTGTCGCAACTACCTCATGCCACTCACCGAGAAGGCGTGGGGAAGATGGTTGGCCATCGATGATGCGCTGGATGTGGGTCCTCTTGCGACTGCCTCATGCCACTCACCCAGGAGACGCGGGGAAGATGGTTGGCCATGATGCGCTGGATGTGGGTCCTCTAGCAACTGCCTCATGCCTCTCGCGACTGCCTCATTCCACTCGCTTCTGGCACACAGCATTCGGGGTATCTAATATTCAAATCTCTTTGAGCGTTTTCTATCTGTCCTTTACGTGTGCCAGTAAACGCATTGCATCCTCAAGACCTCGATTACCTTGCCGCCACCGCGTTCATCCAACAAGGAAAACTCCCCACCTGCGAAGAGACCCAAGAAGACAGTACTGTCGGCAGCAGCCTCAAGAGCTCGCAACGCGCCTTTGACTGGAGCACTGTCGGAATTACCGTCCCAACTACCTGAACCGCCACCAGGACACCAGACAGCGCGGACTCGATCATCAACAACGAAAGCAAAACGACCCCCTGCGTTTACGGTATTCACCAACAACACCGGAGCGACAGAGCAGATACTTGACGGCGCGGATCCCACAACTAGCATCATTGACGAATGCACGATACCTGACATCGTTGACCGATGCTCCCTAACAGATGACGACCTGTTCAGTGAGCTAACCGCCGACGAAATCCGCAAATTGGTAGAACGATTGTTGCCAGACCTCCAAGAAGATGGTAAGCTCTACTCTACAGCACGTAAGGCGCATGTGTACTAACTTTACCAGGAGTTCAAGAGTTCCTTGCGACAGTCTATGACCACGCATGCACATCGCCGCCTTTCGTTATACCCCGCCGAGAGCGAGATCCGTCCACCTGGCCGCTTACGTATCCGGACATGGACTTCGCATGGGGACAGGCAGTGGAAGGCGAACATGCTGTTGAGCTCCCGGACACAATGGACAATTGGATTGACATGAGCGAGAGCAATTTGGGTAAGTTGTCAACGTGAAGTACGTTGGATAGCCTCCAAGCTAATTACGCTCACGCAGTTAAACCTACTGGAAGCCTCCGCGATACCCTTCTCATTGTCAGCTCATACCCCACTGCTAAGGAGGATAGCACAGTTCATCGATCGTATGGTACCACCCTAGACATTTCAAACGAGTCCATGTTTATGCTCTACGCCAAGTTTGGCCACAACGTATCCTCGATCAGAAACCACGGCGCCCTCCACTTGGACGTGTTCCCCAGACGAGTTGACCGCAACATTGCACTCGGTCACGGGAATATCGTCGACCAGGTTCCGACCAATCTCGGCATGTATTGGAGACTCGTGGTTCGTCAGCTCATTGAGTCATCGCATTCCAAACTGGCTCTCCTCGTCGGGTCCGCAGGTGTTGCCACGTACGTCGACTATCTCAAACAAAACAACATCCGCTATCAAATATTTGGCTATCGAACAAAAGCGTGCAAGGCTACTAGAAAGAGAATCATCATGGAGTAAAACAGGTTGCAGATGGAGAGAGAAGCGCAAAAGAAGAGTGAAGGTGAGGCTCCAAAACGGCGAAAGCATGGCAGAATGCCGAAGAGCCTACAGTAAGCTACATACGTTGTACCTAGGACTGCGACGAGTATCTATTCCCAAGTGCCTCTACTATCAACTAAGGTTGTTTGATCCATAAGGTGTGTCACGCGGCAGCATTTAGAGAGAGGTAAAGAGGTAGCAGAAAATCCGGCTGCGGTCTGTTGATACAGCTGTCTGGCGCCTACGTATTCTTGTAGCATAGCACATTGGCTGTATTTTGGCACGTGTATTCTGCAAACTACAATTTCGGCGCCCTCACTTGAAGCACTTCATCAGAACAATCGCCATTTCGTGTTGCTGCACTTTGTGATTCGGTGTTCTCATATGTCGCGGAAAACGTAGAGCAGGGTCTAGAGAGACGCGTCGAAGTGTTCAGACGGCAGCTTGTTAGTAAGAGTTTCTCCCACGTGTTGCAGTTACCAGTCACACTTCTCTTCATATAACAGTGCAGTCGTGTTATGCGCATACAACCTTGAGCGGAATCTTCTTTCTTTTCCATAGAGCTCAATACAACTTCGCATACCTGGGCAACAGTTCCTTGACCGCGCTCTGTTGCTCTGCTCTGCATCAACATCTCACCGTAATACGTAGGTACCTTTGAGATAAAGTAATTATCAGCCAGTTCGTGTCATTTTGGATCGCAATAGGTAGGTATAGTGAAACTCATTTGCGTGTAGAATCGAAATGTGTCTGACCTGCGCGAGCAGCCGCATCCCTCTGAAGCTCCCTAAGTTCGCCAATGAGAATATAGACAACGTTCCTTCCCCGCCCAAGTTTGTCGCTCCCGTGCGCCCTCTTACACCCCCACTCCCGCTATGGCGACCCTCTCTGCCCTTCACACCTCTTTCGTCTTCGCCTCCACCTTCGCTGTCATCGACCTTGACTAAGCTTTTTCTTGTTCTACAAGTTGAAGATGCAGACCCCAAAGAGCAAGGGAAAGGCGCTGAAGCGGAGGGAATAACGAAAAAGGGAGGAGTGAGTAAGTTTTGAAATCGCGAGATATACTGTAGAGGGTAGGCCTGTAATCACAATCGAAGGATACACGGGTTGAATACAACAAGTGGGACTTGGGAGGATTACATCAAAGTTGCAGTGTGATGGTGATGTCTTCTCATCGTGCTCGGCACGATGCGTGGGCGGGAGATCCGCTAGCGGCGCACTGCTGATTGGTTTCATGCAGGTCCGCTTCAACCCCAGAAATAACTCCCCAAGCCGCGCATCGTGAGCGCCGCTGCCACCAGAGTGTTGCGCCCGTGCTGCTGGCGAGCGCTTCCGATAATCTTCTAATCCTGCACTATGTAGAGCGCGAGCACGTCTATCATACCAAGGCTCGAAACCTCCGGCACCATGGACACGATCGCAGTGGCCCCCAAGGCGTCGGCGCTGGCGTCGCCCAAGATTGTTAAGAATGCAAAGGGCAACATTGTGCCGAGCAGCCAGATGGCGCATATCGCGTATGGATGCGGTAAGCGCTCTGCCATCCAGACTGTCAGAGGAGGCTGCTAACACATGGCAGAGCACATGGGCGAGATGTTTGAGAAGGCGCGCAAGCAGACGCTCCAGCACTACCGGGCCATCCTCCAGAATATCCACGAGAAACCGAGTATAATAGCACAGACATACACTGCGCCGGCGGATGCGCGCAACGTTGTGTCGCTGAGGCCGCTGTACCTGTGCCTGCAGTGCCCGAGCATCATGACCGAGGTGGATCGCGATTTGCACTTCGAGACCAAGTCGCACTGTTTCTGTGGGTTCAAGACGATGCCGTATACTTGCGAAGGCTAACAGGAAGCAGCTGTCGAGTCACGAGACGGCAACATATACTGTGGCAATTGCCAGGACTTCATCTACGACGAGACGTTGGACGTGCTGAGAGTACAGAAGGGTGTGTGGCGGCATGCTCATGCTTGAAAGAATCAGATTGGCTGACTACAATACAGGCAAGAAGCGAAAGTACGAAGACAACACCACGACCGAAGACCACAAGCTCGTAATCAGCAACTCGACCTTCCTCCCCTGCCGCGCGATAGGCCTGCGTGGGCTCTATAATATGGGCCAGACATGCTTCATGAGCGTCATCCTACAAACCCTCGTCCACAACCCGTTCATACGAAACTTCTATCTTTCCGAAGGTCATAAGCAGACAGAGTGCGAGAGGGACTCATGCGTGAGCTGTGCGCTGGACGAGATGTTTGTCGAATTCCACTCAGCTGAGAAGACGGAGGGCTTTGGCGCTGTCAGCATGCTCATGGGCAGTTGGCTGGCGGGGGAAGCTCTCGCAGGATACCAACAACAAGATGCGCACGAGTACATGCAGTTCATACTCAACACGCTGCACCAGGCGAACGGCGGATCGACAGACGACTCGGAGGATTGCAAGTGCGTGGTACATCAGGCCTTCTGCGGGAAGCTCTCAAGTACGGTGACATGTGACAATTGCCGCAATGTGACCACGGCGCAAGATCCGTACATGGACCTTAGTTTGGATGTACGGATACAAGGCAAGAAACGGAAGATCAAGGAAGAAAAGGGTGAGGAGACACCTCTGGATCTGAGGGACTGTCTTGAACGCTTCACGGTGAAGGAGAAGCTGGGCTCAGCAGAGTACACATGTCGAAATTGCGACAGTCCGCAGAATGCGACCAAGCAGCTGAGCATCAAGAGGTTACCACCGGTCCTCTCCATTCACCTCAAGGTAAGTACCAAGAGCCATCCGCAGCGTCTCTATACTGACAATTACCCAGCGCTTCGAGCACACAAAATCCACGTCCTCCAAGATCGAAACCCCCGTTCGCTTCCCAGTCAAACTAGACATATATCCCTACACGACCGCCCACAAAGCCGCCATGCGCGCCGTGAAGACATCCGGCGCACCGCTCTCGAACCACAACGTCAACAGCCCGGCGAACGCCCTCGTATACGAACTGAGCAGTGTCATCGTACACAAGGGCAAAATCGACTCTGGACACTACGTCAGTTATAGCAGGGAGGGCAACGACTGGTTCATGTTTGATGACAGCAAGGTAGTGCTGGTCAGCGAGGC